CTCCTTTTCTTCCACACCTTGTCCAAGTTTCTCTGAATCTTATCAAGAACCAAGGATGGGGACTGGCTCACTCAACAAAGTCTCCAGGCTGCCCTCCCCTCAGCCCTATTCCTGGGCCTCCTTCCATACCCACTCCCTGGCCCATTTCTCTTCTACACCCTCACCTTCCTTGCCTTCATCTTCCTTGGCACTCCCAGCCTCCCATCTCCCCATCCTCTTGGCTTCCTCTCCCCCAATCTCTCTCTTTGCCTCCTTCTCCATGCCTGGGCTCTTCCCTCTGGGCATCGCTCAGCTTCTCTATGGACTTCTTTGGACCTTTTTACTCTTATCTAGCTTTCTCTTCTTTCTCTTCTCTTCTATCCCCATTGTAGAGATTCTACCCCCTTATCTTTCTTTCCTTCTTCATCTTTAGCATGGCCCACCCAATAAAAAGGATTGAATCTGGAGTCATAGCAGGTGGAATTGAACCCCGGATTTACCACCTGACACCTGCGTGACACTGGGCAAGTTAATTTCTTCATCTGTAAGATGAAGGCATTGCCATAAACGTCCTTTAACATCCCTTCAAACTCTAAAGCTTGTATTGGATGAGCCCTCTGACCCTGTAGCAGTCCCTCTCCATCCTGCCTGTGCTCACCTTGTCAAAGTTCCTCTGTTTCTTGTCCAGAGCAGCAGCGGCAGCATTGGACCGTTCCACATCCACCATTAGGTCCTCGATTTCATTCTGCAGTCGGTGCTTGGTCTTCTCTAGGGATGAGCACTTGGCATTCACAGCCTCCACGGCCTCCTCTGCATCTTGTAGCCTCTGGGCCAGCTTCTTCCTAGGGGAGGCAGAGGGGAAAAGAGTGGAATTAAAACTATGAAGAAGCAGTGTGTGCCCCTGAGGAAACTACTAGGGCTACAAAGCCATTTAAGGGAACTAAGGCAGTTTTCTACAATAACCTAGAATACATGCAGCGATATGGAGAACTAGTATTCTAGAACCAAAGTTACTGAGAATCCCATTCTAGAGGGATCAAGTGCCTAGGACCAATACTAGGACTGGAGTTACCTTGGTTCCAGCCCCTCCCCCAGGGTACTTACCTAGGCCGACGATGGGTCCTCCGACCAACAAGCTTTTTGCTCGTCTTATACACATGCATCAGGTATAGTCCGGGCCAAAAGCTCGCCCGTCACAGGAAGTGGGCTAGGGCCAGCCAAAGTGGGAGGAGCAGACGGTTGGGGATAGGTTCCCTTTCCAGTCATCATTACCTGATCGGAATGATTCTAGAGGACCTCCCTTTCCCTTCCTTCGAGGATTCCATTATTATTTCCCCTCATTTCCTCTTCCCCTTCATCCTGTAATCACCCTCCCATCTTGTACCCTTCTTCCTAGTCAGACACTCTCTCCACTGCTATAAGTTGGGATGTTTGTGCCTTTTCTCTGTGAGCTGGCAGGTGAATTCACTTGGAGAACTCGGAGGGATTTAGTCTATGGCAGGGCTACAGCTGTTGCATCCAGTTTGGGGCTGGGACCTCCCGAACTTGACCTCCTGTCTATCGTCCCAGAATCATCCATCTATAGTTCTCCTTTTTCCTCATCCACATCACTCACTACAATTTAATTTGCTGGGAACCCTGGGGTCCAGAGCTGAATGGAATCTGGTGAACAGAGTGGTAGAGTTAGGAGAGGCCCTAAGGACTCACTTGGCCTCCTCTAGCTCCTCAGTCCTCTGGATGGCGTCCGTCTCGTACTTGGTCCTCCACTGTGCCACCTCTGAGTTGGCCTTGGACAGGACACGCTGCAGCTCAGCCTTGGCCTCAGTCTCCTCCTCATACTGCTCCCTCAGGAGGTCGCAGTCATGCCGGGCTGATTGAAGAGCATGTGCCAGGGCATTCTTTGCCTGTGGGAAAGCAGAGGTGGGGAGAGATGGGGAGATCCTGATTACCTTCTAGTAGGGAGGAACATGCAAATCTTCCAAGTTCTGTTCCAATTTGTAAACTCTACTGCTAGCCTGAAACTCAGAGAGCCATAGAATTTTAGAACTGGCAGAGACCTTGGAGATCATTTATTATAACTCCTACATTTTATATATGGGGAAACAGAGGTTAAATGATTTGTTCAAGGTCATACAGTTGTGGGGCAGCTAGATGGTACAGTGGATAGAACAACAGCCCTGGAGTCAGAAGGACCTAATTTCAAGTCTGGACTCAGACACTTAGTAGCTGTGTGACCCTGGGCAAGTCACTTAACCTTGATTGCCTCCAAAAAAACCAAATTTGGTGAAGGCCATACACTTGGTGAGTAGCAGAGCAGGGAATAAACCCATGGCTTTTAACCCCAAGTTAGTTGCTTTTTCCTATTATGTCAGCTTCCTACCTACAGTACAAAAAGACTTGGGGTTCTAATCCTGGCTTTGCCACTTATTGGCTGTGTAACTTTGAATGTCACTTCACCACTCTTGGCCTTAATTTCCCCATCTGTCAGATGTGGATAACTCATTACCTTACGTATGTAAGGCATTAGTATTGTAGATGGGTAAACTGAGGTGAGAGAGGTCCAGTTTGCCCAAGGTTACATAGCTGACAGCTACTAGGGCTAGAACTAGAATATAAGGTCTCCTGACCTTGTGTGTGTGTAGTCTTTGTTTTTGTTTTTACTACCTAGTATATTCTTGTAGCCTCAAGAGTCTACCCCTAATCTCCCAGGTTCATTCTCTCTTGGTTAACACCAGACATGTGTGTGTCTCCAAGTCCTCTTCCCACCCTGAACTTACCTTGGCCTCCTCTTCCAGCTGTCTCTTAAGGTCCTCCATTTGCTGGGTATAGGAGAGCTTTCCCCTGGTCAGCTGGGAGATCAGTGCCTCTTTCTCCTCCAGCTGACGAGTCAGTTCACCTAGAGCAGAAGGAATAAAGATTTTTGTATGTGAGGTATGTGGGCCTTAGCCAATAACCATAGCAGAGGGAGGGTTAGGGCTAGAGGGTGGTAGGAAATAATCTGAAAAGAGTGGCAGAGAAGGACCTGAGGGAAGGGCACTCACCGTTCTCTGTCTGTAATTTGGCTCGCTGGGTGGTAAAGTCATTGAGGGAACGCTGTGCCTCTTCCAGTTTTACCCGGTACTCATTCACCTGGTCCTCCAGAGTTCGGGACACTTTCTCCAGGTTTGCCTGTGGGTAATATGGAGAAAGGAAGGCTCAGTGAACATGTGTGACAGGGGTTAAGGATGGGGGGAGCCAAGTAGAATAATCCAGCTTCTGAGAAAGATCTGAACGAAGAGTGAAAATGAAAGTTATAGGTTAAAATGAGAGAAAGGTGGGAAAATAAGTTTAGTTGAATTCAATTCATCAACCATTTATTAAGCACCTACTAGGTACAAGAGGAGAGAACCCATGGCATAGTGGATAGGGTACTGTCCTTGGAGTTAGGAAGACTTGGGTTTAAGTCCCACCTCATCTACACAGGATGAGTGATCCAGGGCAAACCATTTAACCTTTCAATGCCTCAGGGTAACTCTGAAAATTGAAGAACAGCTGACAATCTGCTTTGGTAGAGGGAGGTCCTAAGATTGATTAAAATCTCAGGTCCAGGCCAAAAAAAAAAAAAAAAATTAGACAAGATACTACACTAGGTGCTGAAGTTATAAAGCCAAAAAACAAATCAAAACAAAACAAAACAAAACAAAAAAATAAAATTGTCCCTGCTATCTAAGGGCTCACATTCTATTGGGAGGAGAAATGTTATCACCTCCTTTGAGCTGGAATCAAACCACCAACTTAAGGATGCTTCATAGAATCAGACTCTGTGGTTACTCTACCAGCTGAGCTGTTTCAGAGGAAAAAGGGAATGGAAATGGATGCATTCTGTAAATAGTTGGAAGGAAAAAGAGAAAGGAATGGTAGGAGAGATTAAGGGAGATACATACAGAATTAAAACAATGAGATGCCTTAGAAGAGAGAGGGACAGTGGTATCAAAGAGGGAAAAAAAAAGAGAAAGATGTATGTGAAAAAGGAAGCAGAGAGAAAGGGAGATGAAAGAAGAAGACTGAAAGGGCTCTGAGAAGTGATCCAACTCTGTCATTGTGCAGATGAACAAACCAAAGCCCCACAGTAGAAGATTTGCCCAAGGTCACACAGGTAGTAAGACTTTAGACCAAGTCCAACTCTGACTCCCAAGCTAGTACTTTTTTATGACATCAGTCTACAATAACACAAGGTGCCAAGGAAGGGACCTTGGGGATCATTTAGTCCAACTCCCATAGTAGCAGGCTGATGCTAAAAGACTATGAGGGACGCGGTAATCTCTCTCTTATTGAATTTTCTTACAACGTTTTGTCTAGATCACATTCTACTTTTTAGTATACTTATTAGGGCCATGCCTATCACTTCTGTAAAATTGTAAGCTCCTTGAGGGCAGGAAGTACTTTTTTTAAAAAATCTTTGTTTCCTCAGCTACTAACTACAGTGCTGTGAGCATCATAGGCATTTACTAAATGTTTATTGGATTGTTGAAAGAGAGGGACGAAAGAAATTAGAGGACAAGAGAAGAAAACAACCAGAGATGATGAAGAGAAACCAAGCCAGAAACTGGGGCTCCTTCCCTCTCTCCCTTCCTCCCTTCAACTCTCTCTGTCTCTGTCCCCGTCTCTCTCTCTCTCTCTATTTGTCTCTGTTCTTATCTCTGCCTCTCTTCCTCTTCCTCCTCTCACCTTGGCCTTGATGACCTGCTCCATGTTGGAGGTGACATCGTCCAGCTCCAGCTTGAACTCGCTCTTCTCCTTCTCCAGCTTCTGCTTCACCCTCTGCAGATTGTCGATCTGCTCTCCCAGCTCGGCCACACTGTCCGCGTGCTTCTTGCGCAGGGCGGCCGCCGTGGCCTCGTGCTGCAGCGTCGCCTCTTCCAGGTCCCTCCGCATCTTCTGGAACTCCGCCTCCCTCTTCTTGTTCATCTCGATCTGGACAGAGGTGGCCCCTCCGGCCTCCTCCAGCCTCTCGCTGATCTCCTCCAGCTCCCGGGATAAGTCTGAGCGCAGCTTCTCCACCTTGGCCCGGGCTGTCCTCTCTGCTTCCAGCTCCTCCTCCAGCTCCTCGATTCGAGCCTGGGGACAGAGAGAAGAGAATTTGAATAAAGAAGACCCTCGTCTAATCTAGTTGGGAAGAGAGGAAAGGAGATGACTTTGGTCAAAAGCTAACTCAAGGACCTCAAGGCTCACTGAATAAGAAGGGGGCCAGGAAAAAAATGGACCTGTCATGTTAGAGAAGAAGGTCCTGGGTAAAACAAAAAAGATAAAAGAAAAGAAAAGAAGGCTGTGAGAAAACCTGAGACATGTTTTCACCAACACGACACTAACTGTAGAACAGGAGGGACACAATGGAGCCTAATCTCATTTAGATAACATTGGCAATCCCCTATCAGTACTAGAACCCGAAAACACACACACACACACACACACACACACACACTCACATTTATATAGCACTTTTAGGTTTACAAAGTTCTTTTTTCCCTCTCCCAACAATAATGGGAAGTAGATGGTGCAGGTATGATTGCTCTCATTTTATAGATAGTAAAACTGAGGCTCATAGAGGTAAAGTGATTTGCCCATGGCTGCACAGTATCAGAGCTGGCATATGAACTTAAGACTCCTGAGAGATGGTCTCTTTGCTACACCATAACTTAGAATCTCCCACCTAGAATCCAAATCATTGGGTAGTGGCATCCCTTCCATCTGGAATTCAGATTACACAAATGGCTCTTATTTTAATGCCAAATTTCAGTGATTGATTCTTTCCTTTTTGCCGTCCGTTTTTAGGGAAAGTGATCAAACAATGACCAAAAATAGCAAAGATTTAGTTGAAAACAAAGTAATACTTTTAGTATATGTCCTTGGTTTGGTACAGCTTCAACCCAATTTCTTATACTTTCTACAACTGCAGTATAGGATGATGAGAATTTGTGTTCAGAGAGATGACCCTGAGGTAGTGTAATATCTGAGTCACCAGAGAAAATTTCCATGAGATTCATTATGCTCTGCTTCCCAGGGCAGGAAAATGGACTTGTACATTCTATATAGATTTGCATGGAAAAGACTTTAAACAACCAGTGGCTTCTGTTTATCCTCAGGTAACCAGAAAATTCAATTAACTGTGGACTCCCTCCTCCCCCTCAGCCTATAATTCCTTGAGCTGACTAGTTATTTGAGGTTTTACTGTATTGACTTCCTAATGTTGAGTCCTAGGAGCATAACTAGTTTAGTGGTTATTTTAGTGGGCACTGTCTTCACCTCCTTCCCTTGTTTGTCTATCTACTGGTCCACTTATCTGACTGAGAGGCCATCTCACACTCACCTAGAGCTGTGAGGTTCACAAAGCACTTTCCCCAAAGCAATTCTATGAGGCCTAGATACTAGTATTGTTATCTCCGGTTTACAGATGAAGAAGATAAGACCCAGTGAAGGTAAATAACTTGCCTAAGTTCATGAAACTAGTAAATTCTGGAACCCGGACTCAAATACAGGTATTCTGACTCTAAAAACTGTGTTCTTTGTTCTACATAAGACTTCTTTTTGTCCCACTCACTTTATTCTTTGGCTGCAGCAGGGGCCAAGCAGAAAAGGGGATATGATCCTTTTCTTTAGGATGGTGTCTAAACTCTGTGGCCCTGTGTGTCAGCAGGGTGTAGGTTTCCAATGGCACATATATTTATTTATTTTCAATCCTGTGGATACCAGTAGCAGGAGAGGAAAGCCACTCTTCCCACTTTCCAGCAGAGGGGAGCACCTCAACTGAAATGAGAAGAGAATGCTTTTGTTCTGCGGCACAGAACAAGTGATGGAAACTATTTCTTCCAAGGGGAGACGCATAGTAAAGCAGAAAGAGCGTTGCTCTTGAAGACAGATGATCTGGGCTCAAGTTCAGGTTCTTATACTCACTAGGTTTTGTGACTCTAGGCAAGTCATTTAAGTTCTTTGTGCCTATACAAAGGGGATAATGACAATAATACCTGTACATCCTATCTCAGAGTTGTGAGGACAGGGTTCTGCAAACTTTAAAGTGCTAAAGACATTCAAGCTATTATAACAAAAGGAGGAGATACAAACAAAGATCTTTTTCCTAGTCTAGAAAAAACAAATCCAGCCAGTGAATCACAGATGGCGACACCTGGAGGACGCAAAGAAGACAGGTAGTAAAGGATAGTAGAAATAGCACTGGAACTGGGGCCCAAAGACCTGGGTTCAAATACTATTTTTGACCAAGTGACTGGTCAGTCATTTCCCCTCTCTAGGCCTCAATTTTCTCATCTCTCATATGGTGGGGGGTGGTGGAAGTAAGAGATTGGATTGGATAGATGATTAATAGAATGAAGCTTCTTAATGGTCTTTCATTTTTGCATTTATATCCTCAGTACTTAGCATAGTGCCTAGCACATAGTAGGCACTTAATACTTTAAAAAAAATCAGGCAGCTAGGTACCACAGTGGATCAAATGCTGAGCCTAGAGTGGGAAAGAACTGAGTTAAAATTTTGCCTCAGATACTCCCTAGCTGTGTGACCCTGGGCAAGTCACTTAACCTATGTCTGTCTCAGTTTCCCCATTTGTAAAATGGGGATAATATTGGCACCTATCTCAGGATTGTTGTGAGGTTAAAAAAATGAGATTATTTTTGTAAAGTGCTTTGCAAACCTTAAAAGTGTTATATAAATGCTAGCTATTATTATTTTTGTTTAATGGAATGGATCTCTAAGGTCCCTTCCAACTCTGTGTCCTATGATCTTATGATTTCATTTAAAATAGAACTGGGTTTCCCAGGAGAGAGATCTATGAACTTGAGCAAATGCCTGAGACATTTGTTTTCACTACACTGGCTCTCAGTGGAAATGCTTGTACTTAGTACTGAAAGATTGTTGGCAAAGTACCCTCTTGGGTAGCCCTTTGGGTTATTGAGGTAGTGCAGTGGATAGAGCCCTCCCCCTGGAGTCAGGAAGACCTGAGTTCAGGTCCCATTTCTGACACTTAACTGTTTTTTTGACCATGGGTAAGTCACTTTACCTCAATTTCCTCAACCGTAAAATGTGGATACTGATAGTACTTAATTCTCAGGGTTGTTTTGACAAGCAAATAGGATTACATTTGTGAAGCGCTTAGGTGCCTGGCATATAGTAGGTGTTATATTAATGCTTCCTTCCCTCTTTCTTGGGTGCTAAGGGGAGAAATAGGATATGTCTCCTCCCAAATTCTCCCTTCCAGCTTACATCATCATCATTCAACACTACTCCAAAAAATCTGGAATTTCATTTGTGTGGTGATTCTCTTCCTGGATACAAATCAGAACCCCCTCGAACCTCCTGTCCCCAGACACGCTTCAGCAAATGATTTCATGAGTTGCTGTGGTCAAAAACAACCAGCGCTTGATGGCCAACTTGCTGGTGATGGATGAACCTCTCTCTCTCTCTCTCTCTCTCTCTCTCTCTCTCTCTCTCTCTCTCAACTTAACTATTCTGGTCCTTGAAGGCCAGATACAGCTTTCTGCTGGGCCAATATTCAAAGCCTCTCTTGCTTGACTGGACCCACTGGACCCTGGAGCTCTGCTGGCATAGTCTTCCAGTACCTAGGGTCACCTCCATACATGAGGAAGTGTCCAACAGGACTTGAGTGGAAGATAATAATAGCTGACCTTTATGCAGTATTGTCTGGTTACTAAGTATTTTATTCACATTATCCTACTGAATAAGTTAATAGCCTATGAGGGTGGTAGGATAAATACAGAGTGCCCAAAAAGTCTCAGTGCAGTTTAAAGTTGTTAAAACAACAACAACAACAACAGCAACAACAAAAACTTAAAATCACACTTAGACTTTTGGGACACTCTGTGTTAATGCTCGTATGTTCCAGAAATTAGAGTCCACGGAGATTATACAACTTGGCCAAGGACTTCTCGTCAGTAAATGACAGCATCAAGCCTGGAGGCAGCTAAGTGCTGGAGTGGATAGAGTGATCTTGGGCAAGTAGCTTCCCCTTTCTCAGCCTCCGTTTCCTGATTTATAAAATGGGAACAATAAAAACATCTACCTCGGAGGGTTGTTGTGAGGATCAGATGAGATAATGTTAGGTGACTCAGTGGGCATGGTGTCAGCAAGCCCTGAGTTCAAATCTAGCCTCAGGTATTTACTAGCTGAATGACCCTGGGCAAGTCATTTAACTTCTACCTCTACAATGGAAATATTAATAGAATAAAGGGTTATTGTGGGGATAAAATGAGAAAATAATTGTAAAACACTTAGAACAGTGCTTAGCACATAGTAAGCACCATATAAATGTTAGCTATTATTATTATGTATTTAGGAACTCTTAAGGTGCTATATAAACGCAAACATTATTGTTGTTGTTATAATCAGTCTTTATCTTAGTGCTCTAATTCCCAGCCATTTCCCCACTATACTGGGCTACCTCTAGTCAGATTTGTACCCAGGTAAGGATAAAATGAGCTTCTAACCGCAAGGAATCAATGTCCTTGCTTGCAGGTGACTGTCATTTTGTCGACATCTGGCACATACTTAGCCCTACTATGAGTAAGGTATGCCCTACATGACGACACACACACAATAGGTGCTGACTCGGGCTTTTTTTTTTTTTTTGGTGAGGCAATAGGGGTTAAGTGACTTGCCCAAGGTCACACAGCTAGTGAGTGTCAAGTGTCTGAGGCTGGATTTGAACTCAGGCCTCCTGACTCCAAGGCGGGAGCTCTATCCACTGCGCCATCTAGCTGCCCCACAACAGGTGCTTAGTAAATGTTTGAAATTGAATTGAATCCTGGTCAAATCAGCAGAGTCCACAGCAGGCGGCTGGCAGAGCCCCTGTCTGTGGACGACTGAGAGTGCCTTTGGGTAAGTGAGTGCTCTGGAGGGAGGATTCGCCTCATGGAAGGGGTGAATTGTACATGAAATGTCAGTGACAGTAGTCAGATATATTTCTTATTCAAAGATAATGCTGCAAATAAAGAAATACGGAAAGACAAAATGATGCAGTGTTACAATACCTGAACTGCAAATACACTGACTATAATGACATTTTTTTAAAAAGAGAAGAAAACAAAGCCAGAGGTAACAAAATTTTAGGTAGACCTGGAAAGGGACGTGATGAAAACATGTTTAGTTTTTCATGTTTATTAATATCTTTGGTTCTACTTTGTTAAATACTAAGGGTTCTATGTAAGATTTTACTTCTTCTTTTGAATGTTTATTTGACTCTTTGTTCTTGTTAAAGGTTATGAATTTTTTTTGTTTTTTTTTGTTTTTTAAAAGAGGCATCCCTAGGCTTCCTACCTATCTTTGTGATAGTCTGCTACCTTGTATAGGAGGAAAGGGGACAGATGGGGAAGGGTACGGGGAGGGGCTTTCTCCATCATTTGCTTTAGAGCAAAAGGACCCAGAAAAAGAAACCAACACAACTTTTTGTGCCCCCCCCCAAAAAAAAGATTAGCTAATTGTTAGGAGATATTCCCCCCGGGCTTCCAGAGTAGCCCAACTTGAGGCTGTTCTAGAGAGAAAGTGAATTATTTTCATCTGAGAAATAATTAGCATTGTAGAGAGTCACTAAACTCTCAGGGGAAAGTGATTGAGTATCCCTGTTAGTTAACTTTGAGCTTGCTTGAGGAGAGACTGTCCTGTGGTATAGTAGAAAGAGCCCTAGCTCTGGAGTCATAGAACCTGCATTTAAATCCCGCCTCCGACACTTACTACTGTATGACCTTGGCTAAGTCACGTAACCTCCATGGCCCTCATCTGAAACACTGGATTGCCCTCTGAGGTTCTTCTCTTCTGCCTTTAGATGGTAGATTTTGTTGTTGTTGTTTAATCATTTATCAGTCGTTTCTGATTCTTTGCAACCCCAGTTGGGGTTTTCTTGACAAAGATACTATTTTCTTCTCCAGCTTATTTTACAGATAAGGAAATTGAGGCAAACAGGGTTAAGTGACTCGCCCAGGGTCTCAAAGCTAGTGAAGTGTCCCAGACTGGATCTGAACTCAGATCTTCGTGACTCTAGGCTCGGCATTCTATCTACTGAGCCACTTAGCTTCCCTGTTTTGTGGTATTCTATGATTCTATCATATGATTCTATATCCTAGAATGTCCCAGGTGTCTTCTCTGGAGTATCCAAACCCTTCAGTGCCCTCTACCTAGCTGTCCAGACGGTTACCTGGTTTTCCTTTAGTTTCTTCTGTAGCTGGAGAGCCACTGCCTGTTCATGCTCGATTTTGCTGTTCAGCTGATTTATGTCAAACTCTTTCCTGGAATAGAGGTTGGTGGATGTTGGGCATTCCCCCTCCTTCATTTCTGCCTCTTCTCTTCCCCTGTTCTAGGACACTGGGATTACTCAGTCCTGTCCCCACTTCCCCCACAGACAAATTACTAATGCCAGCTTTTCCAGGAGTGTGGATGCGGAGAAGGGGAATGCCTGGGATAAATCTACCCTGTGGAAAGGGTTACATTAGCCATTCCCTGATGCCTCTGAGAGAATAGGGTCACAACAGAGGTTGGTGTTCTGTTCTTCTGACGTGCCCTCTGACTGACCCACAGATCTCATATGCCCTCTCTCTTCCCCACCACAAGGCTCATACTTCTTGAGTTTCTCCTCTAGCTGCTGCTTGTCATTCTCCAGGTCCATGATGCTCTCCTGGGTCAGCTTCAGGTCTCCTTCCAGCTTCCTCTTTGCTCGCTCCAGGTCCATCCGAACCTTTTTCTCCTGTTCCAGGGATCCTTCCAGCTGACAGAGAGATAGAGTCAGAGGAAGAAAGAGAGAAAGACACAGACGGAGAGATAGAGACAGATGTCCAGTCAGAGAGAGACTATTCCAGGTAAGACCAAGAATCTACTATGCAGAATGCTCTCCTTTCGTCTTGACTCTAGACCCAAAGTTTGTGGGGCTCCCGTCCTCAAGCACATGGGACCTGAGGTCAAGTTGCCAAAGGAAACAAGGATAAAGTTTGAAGAAGGATCTCAGATAACAAAGAAGTTCCAGTGACCTCAGGAATAAGATCAATGGATTTTATTTAATTCAATTCAACAAATACTTATTAGGATCCTGCTGTGTGCATGTTAGTGTGCAAGGTGTTGGAGATCATAGGATCCCCTAGATCTCAAAGTAGAACAGATTTTAGAGACCATCTAGTCCAAAGGCCCAAGAAAATTGGATGACATACCCAAGGTTATATACAGAATGAAAGGGGATAGCCCCTGCCCTCTTAGACCACTGGAGTTTCCTGGAAAGACCCTAGCTCAGTGACCTAAGGGGATGAGGTCAAAGTTACTCACATCATCCACTTGCTGCTCCAGCTTAACCTTGGACTTGGTCAGTGAGTTGACCTTGTCTTCCTCAGCTTGCAGGTCATCCAGTGCTTGCTGGTGGGCCTCTTGCAGGGCCTTCTTCTCCTTAGTCAACTTGGCAATGATCTCATCCAGCCCAGCCATCTCCTCGGTCAGGTTTTTCACCTGTGGGACAAGAACCCCATTTCCCACCCACCATTGTAGTCAAAGGTTGGCAGGCCCAAACCAATTAACTGATTCCAAGGTATTGTCCATAAGAGGTTTTGTGAAGTTCAATATCAGGGCTTATGTTAATTTCATAGACCACTGGGGGAAAGGTAGATTTGATTATGGGTGTTACTAGTGGCCTGGCCCTATGGCAGAGGCCAGTATGGCCTGGGAGTCTCGTGGAGGTCTAAGGATGGAACTGAAAAGGATCCCTTTGCTTACCTTGTTTTCCGTTGCATGCTTCTCCTTCTCCACCTTGGCCAGGGTCAGCTCCAGATCGTCAATGTCCTTCTTCAGCTCTGAGCACTCATCCTCCAGCTTTCGCTTCTTGGCTGTGAGCTCAGCATTCATCTCCTCCTCATCCTCCAGGCGCTCTGTCTGCTCCTTCACCTTGGCCTCCAGCTGGATCTTGTTTTTGATCAGCTGATCACAGCGCTCTTCTGCATCTGCCAGGTTGTCTTGTTCCTGGGAGCAGAGCATGGAGAAAACAAGAGATTGAAGAGGGACTCTACCAACTAGGCAGTGACCAAACAAATCAGGGTATGTGAATGTAATGGAATATCATAGCACCATAAGAAAAGCCAACATAGTTTCAGAAAAGCCTGGGAAGACCTGAATGAACTGATGCAGAGTGAAGTAAACAGAACCAGGAGAACAATTTATACAATAATAACAAGATTATAAAGAAAAACAAGACTTGGAAACTTTGATCAATGCAAAGACCAACTGTGATTCCAGAGGACTGATGGTGAAGCATGTTATATGCTTGACAGTAGGATGATGGACTCAAGGTATAGAATAAGGCAAACTTTTTTAGATATACCCAAGGTGGGAATTTGTTTTGTTTGACTATGCATGTTTGCTATAAGGGTTTTGTTTTTTTTTTTTCTTTTTTTCTTTTTCCAGTGGAGGAGGGTAGTAAGAGGACAAGGAAGAGAAGGAAGGATAGGGATAAGGCTAGCAAAAAAAAAATAAATGAAATGAAGAAAAAGAGGATTAATGAAGCATCTTTTTTTCTTTAATGCAGAGAAGGGAACAGAAGAAAAGCCAGAAAGAAGCACAAATAAGCAAGACACCGTTGAAAAAAACAGGTTGAACCTATTATATACTTTAAAAGATAAGCAAAGTATACATAACATATACTTGCAGCTTTTTGAATAATTTTCTTTCTCTTTTTCAGTACATATATGGAAATGCCTATTTTGTTGGCTGTTTGTTAAGTTCAGAATAAAAACAAACAAAACAGGAAATTGAAAGGAGAAGAAAGATGAAGAGGGAGGATTAGAAAAAGACCTAGAACTCAGAGGTTCCCTGGAGTAGGAAGATGAGTTGTTTCCCAAGGGAGGGCAAGGTAAAGTAATCTTACTGCCTGGACTTGTAGCTGCAGATCATTCTTCTCCTGAAGCAGGGACACCATCTTTTCCTCCAGTTCCTTCCGTCGAGCGTCTGACTTCTCCAGGGCATCTTTGATGCGCCCAAATTCTTCCTTCATGTTGGCCATTTCCTTCTCTGTCTCTGCACTCTTCAGCAGAGGCTTAATCTTAAAGTAAAGCTTCATCCAGGGCCAATTCTTGACCCCCATGAAGGCCCGGATGTTCCATTGGATCACCAGGAGGGCATCCCTGAGAGGGAAAAGTCAATGTAAGGAGGAGAGGTGCCATGAACCCATTTATTTTGTTCTTCAATCCCATGAACCAGACTCCACCTAAGACTTCCTAGTCTCAAGAGACCTCCTATCATTGAGAGGGAAGGAAGGAAGATTGTAAATTCCTCAAGGGCAGGAGCACATTCGCTTCCTCCCTTTGTATCCCATAGAGGACCCAGACCAGTTTGAGGCACAGAGCAGTTACTTAATAAATGTTTGCTGATGGAAATATTCATAGAAAGGGGAAGATCTCTGTCCCTAACAATTGATATTTACATAGGGCTATAAATTTGCAAATTGCTTTCCATATGTTATCTCATTTGATCCTCACAACATAAAGTAGGTATCTCAAGTGTCATTATCCTCATCTTATAGAGAAGGAAACTGAGTCTCAGAGAAGGTAGGTGACTTGCCCCTGGTCACACAGCTAATAAATGTTAATGATGAGATTTGAAGCCAGGTCTCGCCAGACTCAAAGTCCAGCACTCCACCCACTATAGTGTACTTCCTCTCCATTCCACAGGCTATCACCACCCCTTGCCTTGTAGACTTTGTACTGAACCTTATATCACAGTAGCAGTGTGTCTCCTTGATAATTGCTGACAGAGGAGTATTAGGATAGGACCATAAAGGGGTCAGGTGTCAATCATTTCCTAATAACTAGGACTCCCAATGTCCTTGGTAGTTCTAGGGTTCATGACTAACCCATAGTATCCCAAGACCATCCAGTAATAATGACCGGCATTTATATGATGCGTTAACACCTACAAAACATTTTACATAAGTTATCTCATTTGGTCCTCGCAGTAACCCTAGAGGTAGGTGCTATTATTATCCCCACTTTACAGATGAAAAAAGCTGAGTCTGTGAGAGGTTAAATGACTTGCCTAGGGCTATTAAATATCTAAGGCATATTAGAACTCAGTTCTTCCTGATTCTAACTCTAGTACTCTATGCATTGCCCCATCTAGTGCTCAGATAGCTTCAGTTCTACTTAGACAACCTATCAGGGCCCCTGGTTCAGTGGTTCCCCAGTGCTCTCTCTCTGCTCTTGCTCTGCCTTCTTTCCCTTCTCACCTTCGTTCCACAATTTTCTTGAACTCAATCCTCATCAGCTGGCCCCGGGCCTGAGCCTGAATCCGGGTGATGATGCGGGACAATCTCTCGTCTCTCATCTCTTCCAGCAGCCCCAGCAGCCCAGCCTTGAAGAACACCTGGAGAGAAGATTCACATGTTGGAGATGAGGGAGGAAGAGAGGGATATCTTCATAGGAAGTCCTCCCAGGAGAGAATTGGGGAAGGAAGATGGGTGGAGCTGGGAGATTTCATTACAGAGATTTCAGAGTCATGGGATGGAACCTGAATCTCCCACCTGCTCTATCCCTAACATTAGAGCATGGACTAGGAGCCATCCTCCCAGGGAGGGGAGGACTTGGACTGCTGGGGGTGAGGAAAAGAGAGAAAAGGAAGTTGGAGATGAGATTGGTGGGAGGAGGGAACATAGTAAGGTGTAAAGGACAAGATGGGTCTTACCCTTCCTCTGTCCTTCTTGCTCAGACCCTCTCCCCTTAGGGTGTCCCTACACAATCCTAGTGAGCCCTCTCCTCCATGGCCCTGCCTCCCTCACCTTGGTGTGGCCGAACTTGTACTGGTTGTGGTCAATGTCTAAGGAGCCAAGCAGCTTCTCTGCCCCCTTCCTGCTGTCGATGAACTGGCCCTCGGGGATGGCTGCTGGGTTCAGAATCCGATACCTGAGGGGAGAGGTGGAGATGGTCATCTCACTCTCTGTATGGTTCTTGAGAATGATGCTACTTGGGAACAAGAACATCTACCACCAGCTCTACCCACCTGTGACCCTACCCCACCCTCCAGATCTGAACATTTTCCCTGAGCGGCCCACACCCACCTCTGTCGGAAGTCCCCATAGAGGATGCGGTTGGGGAATCCCTTCCTGCAGATTCGGATCCCTTCAAGCACCCCATTACAGCGTAGCTGGTGCATAACCAAGGGATTGTCCATCACCCCTATGGACATCAGAGGACAGGATGAAAGATAAGTTTCTGAGTAAATGGAGGCAGAGCGTTTGCTACCTCCTACCTTGTTTAACTCCCTTCCCCACCCACTACTCACCAGGAGCTTTCCTCTCATTGGGGATGATGCACCGCACAAAGTGGGGATGGGTGGTCTTTAGATTGGCCATCAGCTTGTTGAGGTTCTCCTGGGGATGGATGGCAGTGGTCAAGGAGGATTAGAGATGACAGGAGCCACCTCTTGGGCACCCTGAGGCCCAGCCCCAGCAACACTGAAACTCTAACTGTGTTGATTCAAGACTAACAGCCCTGAGTTTGCATAAGACCCGTGCAGAATTTGTATGTCCAAGGTAACACATCCCTCTGACCCCCACCCTGCACTGATAGGTCTAGTTTTCCCTCAGGATTCCCAGTTCTACCCACAGTGGCTAGCTCATCTTACCCTGTGGAGGGCTGACACTGTCTGGAAGGAAGAACCTTTTTTCTTGCCTCCTTTGCCTTTGGCATCAGCTATGTGAGAGAGGAAAGAATCCGTCAGGGAGGAACCGCATACTTTCTAGCTCCACCCCCCACACTCCTCGCTCTCCCTGCCTGTTTCCTTTTTCGTTACCTTTCCCCCTCAAGTCTTTCTAACTTCTCTTACTGTCAAGTATACCCCCATCCTCTCAGTCACCCAGGCTTACAACCTAGGTGTCATCCTTTACTCCTGACTCTTTCTCACTCCCCCATACCTTCTTAACATTGCTCATATATGCTCCGTTCTCTCCTCTGATACTACAACCATCCTGCTACAGGTCCCTGTTACCTTACACTTGGACACTTACAGTATAGCCTGCTGCTTGGTGTCTCTGTCTCATCTGTTCCCACTCTAATCTATCCTCCTCTTAATTGCCAAATAAGTCTTCCTAAAGTGCAGGTCTGACCCTATCACCTCCTCTAGTTAATAAACTCCAATGGCTCCCCTTCACCTCCAGGATCAAATATAAAATCTTCTGTTTGACTCTTAAAGCCTTTTGTAACCTGGTTGTTTCCTACCTTTCCAGTCTTCTTACACATTATTCCCTCCATATTATCTTTGATCCTTACTGTTTCTCTCACACATTTCTTTTTTTTTAAATAATTTTTTCCCCAATTACATGTTAAAATAAGTATTAAAACTTTAAAAAAGTTTTGAGTTCCAAATTCTACCCTTCCCTCCTTCCCTGCCCTCTCCATGAGATGGTAAGCAAATTCGATATAGTTTATACATGTCACACGTCTCTTCATCTTCCAACTCTGAGCTGTCTCCAGTGCCTGGAATGTTCTCCCTCCTCATCTCTGCCTCCTGGCTTCCCTGGCTTCCTTTAAGTCTCAGCTTAAATCCCACCTTCTACAAAATTTTCTTCCCAATCATCCTTAATCTTATCGCCTTTCCTCTGAGACTACCCTCAATTGATCCTGTACAGATCTTGTTTGTACTTAGTTGTTTGCATGCTATGACCTCTTTGAGGGCGGGACTACTTTTTGGTTTTGTTTATTTGTTTTTTGCCTTTCTTTCTATGCTCAGCACTTAGCACAGTGCCTGGCACATAGTAGGTGCTTAATAAATGCTCGTTGATTGCTTGATTGATAGGGCACAGAGACTGCTCTTTCCCCTGAGCATAATATTGCGACTGGTGGCCATTGGAAGCTACAATTCACTTAGGGAAAGTTAGAAGGTAACACTAGCCTCACTTGCCCACCCAGCCATAAAACATGAATATGCTCATAATAAGATGAATGATACAAATTGCATTGTACTAGGACTCTCTCTGTTCTCCCAGCTTTGGACTCCTCCACCCAAATCCCAGATCATGTCTCTTCACCTGTTTTGCATACTCTCTTGATCCCTGGCACTGCCCTAATACATTTGACCTGGACCCTAACCTTTGCCTCTGGCACCTTGGGAAAGGCACCACTCATCTCTGTTAACTCACTCCAGTCCATGCACAAGTAACATGACACTTCTGACCCTTTTCTAAGGGGGAATCTTCAGGCAGTTACCTGGCACAAGAGGCATCAGTCTATATCATGAGAGACCTGTAACTCTAGTTTATGGCTGGAGTTTCCAACCCAAGTACATTCACTGCTCTCTTGCCATATCTTTCCCTTTGTCTCTCCCCTCCCCCAATATTTTTTTTCCCTTTTCCCTTTCCTCATTGGAGTTAGAGGCTTCTTTCCTATAGCTCATCACTACACCCAAGCAATAGGTTCCTTCTGATTTGGGAACTCTTCATTTCCTAGAAGTCAGATGCTGAATCCCATAAGATTTCCTAAAGTGCCACTATCATATCCCAGAGCTGGGTCCTTACCAGTATCAGCAGAAGCATAGGAAGCAAAGAGGGTTGCCATCAGTTTGAGGGAGGACTTTTGATAGAGGCCCACCACAGTCTCATTGAGTGGGTCCTTGTTCTTCTCCAGCCATCCCATGATATTGTAATCTACAATGCCTGCGTAGTGTATCAGAGAGAAGTGGGCCTCCTGCTTCCCCTTGACATTTCGGGGTTTCTGGAAGTTGTTGGACTTGCCCAGGTGGTTGTCGTAGAGTTTGGCCTTGAAGGTTGTGTCAGTGGCTTTGGGGAACATGCATTCCTCCTCCAGAATGGACATTATGCCCATGGGCTATGGTGAAGGGAAGAAGTAATGTAGCTGAGTTTCCTCCCAAGGATTCACAGAGCCATAGACTCCCCAGACAGGAAGGAACCTCTAGAAGTTAACTTGTCCACTCCTGTAGTTGAGTATCTGGTCTGTTATTAACCAACAGGAGCTTTCCATAATCTCTTTCAGTCACCTGTGCCACTAGCTCATGACCTGAGGGTGAGGCAGCAAATAAAGTGGGGGTGCATGGTTTTTAGGTCAATGAGGTCAAGTTCAGGAAGTGATTCCTATTATCTAACCTAAATATAAACAATTTCAGGTCAAACCTATTTCATGATACAATGGAGAGAATGTTAGATCTAGAAATTAAAGGACCTATGTTCAAATCCCAGCTCTTCTACTTACTACCTGTGTGATGTTGGTAAGGGAAAGAAAGGGTGATGGTAACCAGCATTTTTTAAGCACCTACTATGTGCCATGCTCTGTGCTAAGTGCTTTATGAATATTATTTCATTGAATGATGTTGGTCAATGACTTCTCTGAGCCTCGGTGTTCTCATCTGTAAAATGAGGAAGTTAGATTTGATGATCTCAAAGATCTCTTTCACCTCTAAATTTGTGATCTTGTGAGATCTATTCCATACTCAATAGAGTTAGAGAAAGTAATTTTCCTTCTATAGCCCTGTGCTTCCCTGAAGATTTTCCTTCCTTCTACATTCTTCCTTCATGAAAGGTACATGTGACAGGCAAAGTTCCTATCCAAGAAACTCCTGAACACTCTGGGGGTCTAAAGGCAGAAAGGGCCTCAAGAACTCAACCCAAAGGTAATAAACTAGTGGGTAAGTGGTAGGCTCCTATCCATCTGAAACATTTACTAATTTGGCAAGGGATAGAGTATTCTAGAGACTTCTAAGTCTGTATAGAATACCCTTAGACATTACAGATTCATCTACTCAATCTGCTCAATTATCTAATCAATCTCAGCATGTAGAGAAGTAACCACTACCTGACAAATTATTCAGATTGTTGAGGATTGATTACTCAATGGTGGTAATTACTCAGCAGGTGGCTCTGGTCTGCATGGGGAAAATGCAGAAGGCAGTGAAGCCTCCCAGAGACAGAGCAGGCAGAGAATGCCTACTAGCTTCCTTATTTTCCTTTCTCTCTAGGTGTGATCACCACCTAGGTATTTATATCTAAAGATGTGCTTAGTTTTCATTTATCAGGGAGTAAAGGGGCCCATTTTAGACAGTACATTTTGTTTTGGGAGGAGGATATAATATTTCGAGTTACAGACATTGGCTCTTCCTAGGGTATGTTCCTCTTTGTGAGTGTTAGGGAGGCAGGGGACATAATGCTGTGATTCTAACTTCTTATCCTTAGACTACATGTCTCGGCATGGACATGATGCTGTTCCTCTGTCTGGGGGCCTGGGCCAAGGAGGCGGGGACTGGGTACCTTCTCAATGAGGTCGATGCAGGCCTGCAGGTCCATGCCAAAGTCGATGAACTCCCACTCAATGCCTTCTTTCTTGTACTCCTCCTGCTCCAGCACGAACATGTGGTGATTGAAAAACTGCTGCAGTTTCTCATTGGTGAAGTTGATGCAGAGCTGCTCAAAGCTGTTGAACTGGAGGGCACAGAAGGTAGAGAGTGGACAGGTCAGTCACTCAGTCGGTGAACATGGAACATATGTGGGACAGGGAAGGCGCCTGGCTTATTAGCAGAGTGGAGGGATGGTGTTTATTAAATTGAATTGATATGTTGAGGAGTAGGATGAGATGAGGTTGGATAAGTAGGTTGGTAGAGCCAGATTACAGAGGACACACTATATTAGAAAGAGGAATCACATGGAATGTCCAGAGACCTGGATTCCTGTTCTAGCTCTGTCACTAATTAACCGTGCAATCTTGGGCAAATTGCTCCTCTCTGGGCCTCACTGTAAAAAGGTGTTGGGGGTAGCTAGGTGGCACAATGGATAGAGCACTGGCCCTGGAGTCAGGAGGAACTGAATTCAAATCTGGCCTCATACACATAATATTCACTATCTGTGTGACTCTGGGCAAGTCACTTAAACCCAATTGCCTTACAAAAAAAAAAAAGAAGGAAAAAAAAAGATGTTAGGTTACTTGCTGTCTAATGTCTCTTTTCCAGGTCTGGCAGTCTCTGATTCTGAGCATATACTGGAGTCTATTCGTGACTCATTGCCAAGAAGGACATAAGGGTGATTAGAAGACAAGGTCCCAGCCCTAAGGGACTTTACAATTCAATTAGAGATCAAAAAAGAGGAAAAGTTACTATTTGTACAAAAATATTTATCTTTTTGTGGTAGCAAAACACTAGAAACTAAAGGGGTACCTATCAATTGGGGAATGGTTGAACAAATTATGCTATATGATTATAGTAGAATACTATTTTGTTGTGAGAAATGAAAAGAGATGGTTTCAGAGAAACCTGGGAAGAATTTGTATGAACTGATGCACAGTGAAGTGAGCAGAACCAGGGGAACAATTTGTATAATAACATCAGCATCATAAAGATGAGTTAGTTTTGAAAGACTTAAAAACCCTGATCAACACAATGATCAATCATGATTCCAGAGGAGTGATGATGAAGAATGCCTTGCACCTCCTGACCTTTGGTGATGGACTAATGTGCAAAATGAGACATACATTTTTGGACTTAGGAATACAGACATTTGTTTTGTCTGATGATGCATATTTGTTACAAGGGGTTCCCCCCCCCCCCCCCCCCGGTGGGGAGGGAGAAAAATAAATGCTTGGTAAATGAAAAAATATATAATAAAAAACTCAACTATTAGGGAGATAATTCTAAAACACATGAAACATTTAGAGAATCAAACAAAGCAGTTAGGTTCAATCAAGGCTAAGCAGTGTAGGGTAGAATATTGGTACAATAGGAATTCAGAGATGGGGGCAATCAGCGTGGGCTGGAGCACTTGGCAAAGGCTCCTTGGAAGAGATGGGCCTTGAGTTACAGCTTCAAAGAAGGTGAGATGTGGCATTTCCCACTCTCAGCCCAGCACCCCTACCGGGCTCACCCCTAAACCAGACTTCCTCTCGACCCCAGGCTCCTCCAACTCACATCAAAGATCTCAAAGCCGGCGATGTCGAGGACACCGATGAAGTACTGGCGTGGCTGCTTGGTCTCCAGAGTAGCATTGATGCGCGCCACCATCCAGCTGAACATCTTCTCGTAGACGGATTTGGCCAGGGCCCCAGTGGAGTAGTTCACCTGCTGGACATTCTGGCCTTTGGTGACGTACTCATTGCCCACCTTCACCCGAGGGTGGCACAGTCCCTTCAGCAGATCAGCTGAGTTCAGCCCCATGAGGTAGGCTGACTTGTCAGCGTCTGATGGAAAGAGAAAGAGTCGAGCGCACTCTCCCTTGCCCCTCTGAGCCCTCTCCCAACTCTCCTCATCACAATCTCATCTCATCTGCCAGGGTCTACTGAGCTGAGCCCTTGTAGAACCAGCTAAACAGATGCACTCCCTCTCAGATTCCAACTAGATTGACTTGCTTGCATTTTTTTTTTTTTTTGCTTTTTGGTGAGGCAATTGGGGTTAAGTGACTTGCCCAGGGTCACACAGCTAGTAAGGGTCAAGTGTCTGGTCTGAGACTGGATTTGAACTCAGGTCCTCCTGATTCCAAGGCTGGAGCTCTATCCACTGCACCATCTAGCTGCCCCTTTGTGTTCCATTTTCTACCTTACCTTTACACAGAATGCCTAGAATGTTCTTCTTCCTTACCTCAACCAGTGAATAGCACAGTGACTGGCATATGGTAGGTGTTTAATAAATGCTGAATGACTGATTGGTTGGAATCCCTATCATGTGCATTCTCCGTCCCTCCATAACGTAAGCACCTCGAAGGCAGGATCTGTTTCATTTTTGTCTCTATATCCCCAGAACCTAGCACAGTGCCTGGCATGCACTAGCCATTTAATAAATGGTTGTTGAACTGAACTGAATTGAATATTTCCTGTGTACTAGCCTTCTCTAATGGCACCTACTTCCCAGGGTTGTTGTGAGGATCAAATGAGATATTTGTAAAGCACTTAGCACAGTGCCTGGCACATAGTAGGCACTTAATAAATGCTTGTTTCTTTACTTCTTTTCCCTAGACTGTAAGTTGCTTGAGGGCTCGAGTTATGTTTCTTAAGTATATCCCACAGAGTCTAACAGTGCAGAGTCTCCAGGAAGCAGTCAGTTGGTATCTGTTGGTAGGTTGATTGCCTGGTACCAAACTGTGGTTAGATTCTTCCACCCACCCATTTGACCCTTCCAAAGTACCATCTGACATTTATCAAGTGTTGATTGTCTAGACATAAGATAATGATGGAGAAAATGTTAATAATGCAGATCAAACTTAGAAGTGTGTCATGCACACATTTTTTCCAGAAAGCTGGTTGTTAGACATTTACTAGCACTCTTTTGCTTGTGGGCAACTATTAACTCATGAGGTCTAGTTTCATGAATGCTCAATTAAACAAGCAACTATGTAAATGGTCTGACCTTGTGTGCACTCTCTTTGTCAACCCTATAAAATGGATGGGGTGGTTGAGAAAACCCAAGTTAGGACTACCTTATAGGTTATGCTAAGCAGCAGGATAGTACAGTGGATACTGTTGACTTGGAGTCAGAAAGACCTGAGTTTGAATCTTGCCTTGGAATTTTGTAGTTGTGTCACTTTGGGCAAGTCACAACTTTCCTCAGCCTCAGTTTTGACATATGTAAAATGGGGATAATAATAGCACCTATCTCATAGGCTTATGAGGCTCAAATGAGATAATATATCTAATGTGCTTTGTAAACCTTAAAGTTCTGTGTAAACTCGAACTATAATTATTATGCTATGAGCTGAGAGCTAGCATTATGAAGTGGTTGGGGAGCCAGACTTAAGAGGAAGCAGGACCTGGGTTCAAGTTCTGCCATTGACATGTATTGGCTGTGTGAATCTGGGAAAGTCACTTAACCTTTAAGAGCCCCAGACATTTTCCTAAGACTTTAAGTTCCCCAATTGCCTAAAAAAAAGAAAAAAGAAAAAAAGACTTTAAGCTGTAGAAAAGGCACCAATCTGCTTTGGTAGAGGGAATTTCCTCATTAAGTTTTACCTCCAGGTCTGGTTAAAAAGAAGTGTATAAAGAGTTTGATGCTTAACATCCTAGTGGAGAGCCTGTTGGAAGCTGAAAGTCACTGAGTTAGAGAGGAGAATCCACTCCTTTTTCATTTAGGATTTTAGGAAGTCTCTCTATCTCCCCTTGGGAGACATTGTGGCATTGTGGAAAGATGGTTGGATCTAGAGTCAAAGGACCTGGGTTCTGGGTTCTAATCCAGGGTTTGCCACTCAGTGACTTGGGATTTTGGATGAGTCACTTTAGATCTCTCAGATCCTCCTTTGTAAAAGGACAGGATGGGACTGGATGGCCTCAGGGTCCTTTCCACCTCTCACCTCTAGCCATCTCTACCAATACTCCCCAGTTCTTCATCTCCCATCTTCTATCCTTGGAACTCACCACCAAACCTGCCCGGCACCAGGGCTGGGGCTGAAGAAGGGCACGTTAGGCAGAGCTCCACTGGTCATTTTTTTTTAATTGGATAGACTTTCTTGTGCTTTTAAAGCATGGGGATTATTAAAGGCTGGGAATGATCACAACAGGAGTGTAATGGAAGTGGAAAATGATGTATAAAACTGTAGTTCTCATCTTTTAACCCAAGGCCTTAAGCTCTCTCTCTTTCTCCCTGTCACTCTCTGTCTCTCTCTCTCTGTCTTTGCCTCTCTGCCTCTCTGTTTTCTCTGTCTTCCTCCTCCTTCCCTCCCTCCTTCCTTCCTCCTCCTCTCTTCTCTCTCTCCCCCACTCTCCCTTCCTTCTTCCCTCCCTCTTTCCTCTCTTTCTCCCCCACTCTCTCTGTCTTTCTCTGTCTCTCCTCTGTCTGTTTCTGTCTCTCTCCTTTCTCCCACTCTTATCCTCCTTCCAAACCTCCCTTTCCCCCCTCTCCTTCCTCTCCACCCTCTTTCAGTCTCTCTCTCTCTCCTCTTCCCTCCATCCCTCCCTTTGTTCACCCGACCCAGTGCTCTCTCATTGATCTCTCACACCTTCTGTGCCATCTGGCTCGGCCTGCTCCTCCCTCTGCTTCTGCTTGAACTTCATGTTCCCATAATGCATGATGGCCCCTGTCAGCTTGTAGATCCCAGCTTTCTCCTCTGCTGTGAAGCCCAGGACATCAAAGGCATTCTGGATGGGTGGGGGTTGGGGAGAGAGAGAGGAGGGCATTAGTCTCAAAGCAAAGCTGTGGAGCATCTCAGCATCTCTTTACATCCCCATCCCTACCCCAGCTCCCACCCACTCACATCAGTGGCCAAGAGCTCCTCGGAGTCATCGATGGAAGCCACAGACACCTCTCCCTGAGACACAAAGGCGTAGTCATAGGGGTTGTTGGTGATCAGCAGCATGTCTGCTCCGGGCATTTGTCAGGATGAAGATGAGAGAGGGGAGGAAGGGAGAAGGGGAGAGAAGAAAGACAAGGAGTAGGTGAGGACAAAGAGTTGGAGAGAGAGAGAGAGAGACACACACACACACACACACACAGAGACAGAGAGAGAGAGAAGGAGAGAAGAAAAAGCAAAAGAACAAGGAAAGTAAGAGGTAAGAGGGGAACAAAATGAAGAGGTAGAGAGAGGAGAACCACTGAGTAAGTGAATTAGAATCTAGATATTTAGACCCCCTCTCCCCAGAGGCAGTTTCAATTCTCCCTTCCCTTGAACTGAATGTATGTGTGTTGGGTGTGTGTGTGTGTGTGTGTGTGTGTGTGTGTGTGTGTGTGTGTGTGTGTGTGTGTGTTTGAGATTAGGGGAGAAAACTCTAAGGTCTAAGCCTTACCCAGAAGCTCTGGCTTCTTGTTGGATAGGATCTGGTAGAAGATATGGTAGTTTCTTTCTGCTTTTAGCTGAAAGATAACCCGGGACTTCTCCAGGAGGTCTGAAAGGGGACAAAGAGAATAAGGAAGCTGAGTGAGAAATGACAAAGAAAGGAAGGGAGAGCAAGAGAGACAGACAGGGGGAGATTGAACCTCAGTGTTGGAGAGACAGAGAGAAGGTGGGAAGACAGAGTGACAAAGTAATACAGAGGCAGAAATAGAGAGACAGAAAGAAACAGAGAGACAGACAGACAGAGACAGAGAGAGAGAGACAGAGAGACAGAGAGAGAAACAGAGACAGAGAGAGACTGGGAAACACAGAGATAAGGAGGCTAGGAGATAATGACATATAGAAAGAAATACAGAAGCAGTGGTAGAAGCATTAGGAGATACTAGTAGAATGTAGACTGATACAGAATCAGAGCTAGATAGGCTGAGAGAGATGAGACTCAGACACAGAATTAGGCAGGATTAGAGAGTGTATGACTCAGAGGACAGAGGACCTGAGAATTACAGAGAAAGACTGAGGAAAACTGTAAGGTTGATGGAGACAAAGACAGGCAGAAGAATTTGGAAGGAGTTTTGTCACTCACAGGTCTCTATGTCGGCTGATGCCAACTTTCCTGTGGCTCCAAAGTGGATCCGGATGAATTTTCCCTGAATGATGGAGGAGGAGGAGGAGGAGGAGGAGGAGGAGGCAGAAGGAAAGTCAAATCATCAGGAAGGGCTAGTTATGACTTTCCTCTCTCTCCTTCCCACAAACACTGATTGTGCTCATCATACATATGCTGTTTGACCTCGAGTAAGTAAAAATAATGAAAAAATAATGCTCAGACCCACCTCCCACCTGGGGAACAGTGTGATAACTGATGTGGGAGAGCTTTGGAAGCAAAGTCATTACTGAGGGGCAGATACTCTGACCCAGAGTCATCTTCACTTCAAGATGTCTATCTCAAGGAAGTTATAGGCAGGAAAAGGTCCTCTATGCACCAACACATTTGCAGCAACACCTTTTTGTGGTAGCAGAGAAACAGACACAAAGTAGATGCCTACTGAAGGGGTGGGGTGGGGACGGCTAGCCAAATTGTGGTCCATAATAGAGTGTTGCTGTACTATAACAAACGAGGAATATGACATATTCAGAAATGGGAGCTGATGCAAAGTAAAGTAAGCAAAATCAGGAAAACCCTATGCACAGGAACAATAATGTAAATGGAATGAATGAAAAAAGTGAAATTGAATGTTGTGTGATTATAATGACCAAGCTTGGCCTCAGAGAGGAGCTGAGAAAAATGCACCTTCCTCCTTTCTCCGCAGAGACAGGGGACTATGGATGTGGAATGGTGCATATCCTGCCAGAGGAATTGATGAAGGCCCCATGGTAGGTCAGAAAGAGGCCTCATTTTGGAACCAGGGTTCAAGTCCTAACTTTTTTTTTAAATATTGTCTTTTTTTTTTTTAACCTCCCCCTCCTTTTTTTTTTTTGGCGAGGCAATTGGGGTTCAGTGACTTGCCCAGGGTCACACAGCTAGTAAGTGTTATGTGTTTGAGGCTGGGTTTGAACTCAGGTCCTTCTGATTCTAAGACCAGTGCTCTATCCATTGTGCCACCTAGCTGCCCCTCAAGTCCTAACTTTAGCCAAGTCACTAACCTCTCTGGTCTTAGTTTCCTCATCTGTAAATTGAAGAGATTGGACCAAGAAGACCTCTGAGATCTCTTCCAGCTTTAAATCTATGATCCTAGGGACAGCTAGTTGGCTAGATAGAGCACTGGCCCTGGAGTCAGTAGGACCTGAGTTCGAATCTGGCATCAGACACTTACTAGTTGTGTGATCCTGGGCAAGTCACTTAACCCCAATTGCCTCCAAAAAAAAAAAAAATCTGTGATCCTAAGTGTTGATTGGTTTTCCTGAACTGCTTTCTTCTTCTTTCTTTTAAAAATCTTTGTTACAAGGAATGGCTTGCTGGGGACAGGAAGGAGGACATATGTTTGGAAATGAAGATGATGCAAAAACAAAAGAAAAAACTAAGATAGAAGAAGGAAATAAAGTCATTAGAGAAATACGTGCTTTTATAATCTACTCCCAATTTTCTGTATGTACATTATTCATTTCTCAGCTGTCACCTAGAGTCTTCCCTTCCTATATTTTCATCTAGGTCCTAAAATAATGATGCCAAGCTGAGTTGGGAAGGGTATGGGGCCTGGCACATCAGGGGTGAGTATATATAGCTCTCTGATTGTAGCTCCAAACCAATACATTACAAAATAGAATTCACATGTTATGGGATAGGGCTTGAACTTGTGTTTTCATTGGTATAGGGAACTCTCAGATGAGGAAATTCTCCTTACTAATGCAGGTTGCCATCTTTTCTGCAACTTATAGCCTTAGCTTCCTAGAACACTAGGAAGTGAAATGACTTGTCCAGGATCACACAGCCAGTCTATGTAAGCAGCAGGGCTTGAACCCAGGTCTGCCTGGATCCAAGGGCAGTTTGATACCTATTATAGTGGGCTGCCTCTCCAATACTCATATAGTGCTTTAAAGTTTGCAAAATATTTGTCTCGTAACCGCCCTGTGAGGTCAATAAGTGCATATTATTATTGAGCCCATTTTATAGATGGGAAAATTGAGGCTTCCAGAAATTAAGTGATCTCTCCGAGTTCTTGAAGCTAGCTTGAAATATCTCTCTGATGAGATATTTGAGCCCAGGTGCCCTGACTCTAAGTTTAGTTCGAGGCTGAATAACCACTGCGTTGTAACAGTGTTGGCCTCTTTATCAGGTGTGGTTAGGAGAATTTACTGTTTAGTCAATATTACTTACAAAGCGGGAAGAGTTGTCGTTCCTCACAGTCTTAGCGTTGCCAAAGGCCTCCAGGGCGGGGTTAGCCTGGATGATTTGATCCTCCAGGGTACCCTGTAAAGGGAGGAGAAACCCTCAGCAAAATTTCATACATCTGATTTTGGCTAGATCTACAGATGGTGGGGTTGAAGAGCCTAGTCTGGCTTGGCTGGGAGGTGTTGGGTGGGTGAACGTCCAGGCCAGGGTGGTCATGGGGCTTCAGCTGAGGATGGGCAGACATGGCTCTTGTATAATGCCCTACCTTTCTCTTTGCCTTTTCGGTACCTCTTGCAAGAGAAGGGGAGTCCAGCTGATGGCAGGTGGAGGTATAGCTCCAATAATTTGCTTTTGAATGAAGGGACTGCCTGTCCTGAGTGGTTCCCGTTGGGTAGCAGAGTCCTAGTGCCTTGGTCCATTCTGTAGTATCCCCCAGAAATCTGTGTCCCCATAGGTACCTTGTTGGCATTGGCACTATCCTTCTTGCCACGATCCCCTATGGCTGCAATGCTGGCAAAGTACTGGATGACACGTTTCGTGTTCACGGTCTTCCCTGCCCCGGATTCTCCACTAGGGGCAATAGCAGCTCATTAGAACTCGGTTGTCCTACACTCCTCTCATCAGATCCTGCCTCGTTCCCTTCCAATCTTATCCCAGCATTCCACTGATCATAATCTTGACTTGCCTGAAAGTACTCATATCATCACTTAGCTCCCTTCATAATTTCTTAGAGATACCATCTTTCCTCCCAGTACTCTGGTCTTTGCCCTAAAACCCATCTACCCCCAAGAGGGAAATGGGTGTGCTTGGGCTGGGGGGATGAAGGAGACTCACGTGATAAGGATGGATTGGTTCTCCCGGTCTGAAATAAAAAAAGAGGAAGGAGGGATAAGGTTAGGATGTTGAAATAACAGAACAACTGGAAGGAATAGAGAAGGTTCCTTACTCAGGGGTCTCTCACCTGTCAGCATGTACTGATAGGCGTTGTCAGAAATGGAGAAGATGTGAGGCGGAGCTTCACTCCTCTTTTTGCCCCTGTAGGCAGTGACCACCTCTGCATTGTACACCGGCAGCCACTTGTAGGGGTTGACAGTGACACAGAAGAGGCCAGAGTAGGTCTGCAGCCAAGAGAGACGGACAGAGAGAGGAGGGTCAGAGACACCATAGAGGGGTATGAGGGAAGGAAAAGTAGGGAGGATTCATAGATTCAGAAATGGGGGAGACAAAAGGCAGAACATGGCTATCATTGTGTTTTTCTGGTGTGTGTGTGTGTGTGTGTGTGTGTGTGTGTGTGTGTGTGTGTGTGCAGGGGTGTTGAAGGAGTGATTGACAGAGGCCCCCAGGAATCCTGAGCTTAGGGATAGAGACTGGATTTCCCCCGGGGTTGTTTTTCTAGCACTCCATAAGATGGGAGCTGATGCTCAGCCGCATGTCTTGAATACATCCACAGCTGTCCAGAGCTTAATTTGGGACATATTGAAAGACAGGAAACAGGGATCATGTCCCATTTTGGTTCCCCTTTGGGATGATTTAACCTTTTAGCTTTATATGACTGTGGCTGTAACACAATGCCCTGGTCTGGATCCTATAACACCCACAGCTGTGGGCACTCACATAGATCATCCAAGCTGCATAGCGCTCCTTGAGGTTGAAAAGCACGGCGGGCTCATGCAGGAACGTCAGCATGGCCATATCCTCAATCTTGTCGAACTTGGGTGGGTTCTGCTGCATGATCAGGTCTTCTTTCACTGTCACCGTCTGGCAGGGAAGTGGAGCCCAGATGTGACACTGATCATGCCTCTGTCTGCCCTCCCCAACTTCACTTGCCAGGCTCTGCTCTAATGGTCCATAGGCCTTGCAGCTGATGGTGTTCTTGACTAAGCGTCTTCCATTTTAGGTTCTTCCCTTAGCTTGATACCTCAGGCTCTGACTCTCTCACAAAGTCATCCCATCTCCTCCCTGTCTATCTGCCATTCCCACAGCTCTCTGCCACCTCTCCTGCCTGCTATCCCTTTTTCTTTTTGGGGGGGGAGGTAAGGCAATTGGGGTTAAGTGACTTGCCCAAGGTCACACAGCTAGTAAGTGTCAAGTGTTTGGTTTGAGGCCGAATTTGAACTCAGGTCCTCCTGACTTCAGGTCCAGTGCTCTATCCACTGTGCCACCTAGCTGCCCCATTGTTATCCCTTTTTCATACTCTTCCTAGGTCCTCAGCTCTTCTTCTCGATGCCCACCTCCAGAATGTAGACCCCGAGTCTTCTGATTCCAATCCAACACCTTCCTAATTAGCCACCATTTTTGTGGACTAGCTCTGTCGGTCAGGGATCGTATCTTTAACACTGTCTGTCTGACTCATAAATACCTGCCCTTGGTCATCAAAGGAATAGAGTTGAAAGTCTGAAAGGCTTGGTGCAAATCCATTCTTAAATCTCATAGCACCAGCCTTAGAAGGTGGGTCAGTGGGATCCTCTGTTTGGTCATTACAACAAAACTCAGGTTTCTTAGAGCCATTCTCCTATCCTATCCTAACTCCGTACCTCCCCACAAACAATTCCAAGAGTTTCTCTTCTCACCTTCGTTCTCAGTCCCCCTTTTTACCTTGCCATTCTCAGTCTCAGCGGTGACCTTGCCCCCCTCTCGGGACACAATTTTGGCCTTGACAAACTCCTCCTTGTCATCAGGTACAAAGCACTCTGTTCTGATGTCGAAGGGCCGGGTTTGTGCCTCTAGCCTCTCCTTATCAGACTTGCGTAGGTATTGGGCAGCAGGCCCAAACTCAGCCAGGTTGGCATCACCCATCTTCACAGCAAACTAGGGGACAGGGCGAGGAACACAGCTGTAAGAGTTTTCAGCAACAGGAAAGGTGGCTCTCCAGCATTCTTACAGCTGTGACCCAAATGTCATTCCAAGGACAAAGGACTCAGTGGCCTGGAGGGGAGCAGGTGGCACTAAGCCAGGAGGAAATGGACTCAAACACGCAGAGGGGCCCAAGAAACATCAGTTCTGGGATATTCAAGGGATAATATTGAACTTAGAGATTCCCTTCACCCAGAAGTTCTGAGCTCCATCTCCCTTCCAGCTCATCCATGATGCCATATTTAGCTCTGAGTTCCTACCTCCATGTGTCAGTTCTTCTTCCTCCAAAGGTCTACTACTTTACCCCTTTCCTTAAAGTGTGAGCTTGAAGCTAAAGGGGGGGGCCACTGTATGAACACACTAGGGAGTGAGATAAGGCAATGGATTGGATGCTTCTTTGTGGAGCTCAGGGCAACTCAGACAGCAGATCCCTAGATCCCCTCCATCTGGTTCCTGCAGTATGGTTATCTGTGACTGTGGGGAAAGAAGAAAGATTGGTTCTTACCTGGTTAGACTTTTAGAGAATTTAGAAGAATCCTGGACACTGGGATGGGAGGTCGTGTTTAGTGATAGAATGAAGAGGCAGCGACACAGGCACATAGAGAGATGGGGGATGGGGAGAGGAAAGAGAGAGAGAGAGAGACAGAGAGATAGAGAGAGACACAGAGAGAGACAGAGACAGAGAGAGAGAGAAAGAGACAGAGGCAGAGATACAGAGACATGAGAGACAGAAAGACAGAGAAGAGAGAGAGACAGAGAAAAGAGGACAGAGAGAAGACCGAGATAATAAGCATGATGCAGAAATGAGCGGAAAGAGATGGTAAGGGAACGAAAGAAACAGTGAAATGGAGAATCAAGAGAGCAAGAGGAATAAGAATAGAAAGATGGAGACATAAAGATCCCAAGGTCAAGGGTGGAGGAGAGAAAGAGAGAGAAGAAGGAGGAGGAGGAGGAGAAGAAGAAGAAAGAGAAGAAGAATGGAGAGAAAGAATGAGGGAGAAAATAATAGAGAATGAGAAAGAGAGAGAATAAGAGAGAAAATGACAGAAATGAGGAGAGAGAGAGAGAGAGAGAGAGAGAGAGAGAGAGAGAGAGAGAGAGAGAGAGAGAGAGAGAGAGAGAGAGAGAGAGAGAGAGAGAGAGAGAGAGAGAGAGAGAGAAGGAAAAAAGTTTTTTTTCACTTTTCAGTAACATTTCTCTCTTAAAATAAAACTCTTCCAAGGGCCACTGTTTTCTGATGCGGTGCCCTGACCACCCTCCTCCCCACAACTTTATAAAGATAGAAAGTTTCCAGTGGAGTTCCCCAGGTGTATGGGTGGAGATGAAGGTCCCAAAGGAGTGAGGGTGCCTCTCCTCTGATCCCACTACCCCACACTACCAACACCCCAATCCCAAGGAGGTCAGCGTTCCCCACCAGCCCTCAAGGTGGAGGGAGGGAATCTAGGGAACATGTTTCACCAGCCATCCCCCTCTTACCTAAGCCAACGGCAGACTGTGCAGCGTCTGTGTCCTCAGAGTTCCCTATCTCTTTTATATTCCACCCCCCCCACTCCCTCTCTCCAAATTAGGACCCATTGTGAGGGACCCTCCCCCCTTCCCTTTCTCCTCCTAGTTCCTCCCTCGATCCCTTTGCCCTCGAGGTGACAGCAGGACAGCCAGGCCCCCAGATTTGTCCATGAAAGGTACTTTGCCCCAGCCCCCTGGCTCTGGGACCTTTTTTTAGGCCTTGGGTGCATTCCTCACCTCAGAGGGGCTGATGGACTGATAATGGTAAGACAGCAGCCTTCTTTCAACACTGTCCTCTCTCCCCCCATGCTCCTTACCTAGGTTATTTTTAACCCAAAGGGTGGGTGTGGTAAAGTAAACTCATTGTGGGTCACCTCCCCTATTTGCTCAGATGCTTGTCCCCCCCACTCTCCAACCATGGAACCCTGTCTCCCCCTCACCCCAACTGGTGAGGAAACTTTAGACTGCTACCAGGATGACAAGATGAAGTAGGGGAGACCCCCTGGCCCTTCTCTCTGACTCAATTTCCCCTTCTGGGATGAATAACAAATGCCACCTCCTACTTTTCGAGGAGATTTTATATCTGTCTCTCCATCACCTATGGGGTGCCTTGGTTCTGGGGGACATTTGGGGGCTCGGAAGCTGGAGGAAATAGCTGGAGAAAATACCCTTCCTCCCAAATTTCTTTGGACAGTGATTATTACTATCCAATAGTTCCAGTATGTTAATATGTAATCAACACGCTCTTCTCATGTACCATCTGTACATTTTCATGCATGTACTCAGTCACACACTTAAATTTGCTTGGTCACACACATACGTACAATTATACAGGCACCCTCACACTCAATGCCCCTTGTCCCTTTGTCCCTGGTACTGGTGGGAGGTGGGGTGTGCAAGGAAAGCCTGGAGGTGTTAATCCTAGGGTCTAAAGGATAGGGGTGGTGATGAGGGACTCCCTTTCATTTGAAGCAGGTGGGGGCGGGATGGGGGACACAGGTGCCAGTGGGGATGACTGGGAAGCCTGTCATGCTTTGAGATTAACACTCAGGCTTTGAGTTTGGCATTCCCAGCACAGTGATGGAACCTTTATGTCTGCTCCCTCCCTCTCACCAAGAAGGCACCTTCGTGGGCCCCCCCTCTAACTTCCTCAGGGGCGTTTGCCCTCACATCTCCTTCAGGTGGATGCTATCATCACTGCTCCCCCAACCCCTCTTGAGCACCCTTGTCTATGCCTTTGAGTTGGGCCGTCTTATTGAGGCCGTGGGTGTCAGCCCACAGCAGACCATGCCTGATGTGACTAAGTGGACATTGTGTTCAGGAAACTAAGCCAGAATTCTACCCCCTCCCAACCCATGCCAGGACACTCTCCCCAGACTCCCCCCTCCTCTCATCCCCTATCCCCTGCCACCTCTCAATATAGCTCCAGGGGTGTGAAAGAGGGAGGGAGGGAAGCCGAGGTCAGCACCCCAGAATAATGGAATTTTCCATTGTAGTCACTCTCCCATGCTATTCCCATCTCTCCAGGACCCCTTTCTTTACCCAGGATTACATACCCCTTCTCCCAAAAAGCTATATTCATGAAATGCCCCCCAGAATATTTTTGTACCTTTGTACCCTCATAAGTTCCTTTCCTCAACCATTGTGAGCCCTGGATCCCTCCACTCTCAGGAGATGTGCACCTCAGATTCCTCCTTACCCCCCACTCGGTACCAAATGCCCTATTTCTCCAGACTCAGGGTCATTCTATGTCACAGTTGTAACTGTTTAGCCCAGAACCCTATATGTCACTACTTGTCCTTATCCCCCATCAGCCTGGGTACATGATAAGGCGGCTGGCTGAGAGTATCAGGTTAGACGAGGTCAGGTCAGGGCAATGAGAGCAGAGTGTGTCCTCAAGGAACCCTGTGCCCTGGGCATGCTGGTGGGCTAGATGAAGGTCTGAGGGTAGGGGAGTAGGGAGTGGTGGTTGAATGTGTGGTGTACAGAATCCTGACACCTGACAAGAGAAAGAGGACAGGGAGGGGTTAAACCGGTCCAGAAGCTCTGCTCTTCTAGTCCTGGCCCCTGCCCCCCCCCCCCCCCTTCCCCTTTCCTTTCATCAAGGCTTCTTCCTCCTCCTCTTCCTCCTCCTCCTCTTCCTCCTAGTCCCTATCTTCCCAAACCCGTTCCCCCCCTCTGCTCAATCAGTAGGAGGATGAGTGCTAGATCCTGAGAGCAGCACCTCGAAGCTACAGGTAAGGGGGGCGGGGGTGAGGAGCTTCCTCTCCGAAGGAACCACCTGGTCTCGATACCTGTGGGACTCAGCCAGCCTCTCTTTGTTTCTGTCTTCCCATCTGTTTTTCCTTTCTCGTTCTGACTCTCCAATTCATGGCTCTGTCTGTGACTTGGATTTTCTCTGAAGTGTGAGGTTTCCCTCTAATATAACTCAGGACTTCGGGCTTGTCTTTCCCATCTCCCTCCAACCTTTCAAACCTCTCGGATCATCCTCCATGTACCTCCATCCACCTTTCCATTTCTTCCTCTCCCTTTCTCCCCTCTATTGTACTCCTGTCTTTGCATCCTTCTTTCTTCCTTTGCTTTTGTTCTCTAGCCTTTCTTACTAAAATGCTGCTTTTTTAAAAAAAATGAGCTTTTCTTCTCTCTCTGTCTCTCTCTTTCCTTCTCTCTCACTCACTCAACTTTCACTAGTCTCATTCCCACTTTATGAGCTTCCTCTTCATTGTGGAGAGGGAAGAGAGAAAGACAGAGACAGGGAGACCAGGAGAGAAACAGAGACAGAGTGGGGGGAAAATGCCAGGAAAGAGGCAGAGGGGATAAGTAGGATATTGGGAGAAAAAAAAAGTGTAGAAAAAGAGTAAGAGAAGGGAGAGAGGATGATTGGATCATAGAATGTCTCCCTAAGTCTAATCTATTTTTCTTCCGCATTCTGCCTCTGTTTCTCTTTTTTCCTCTTTGTCTCTCTTCCTTGGCTATTCTCTGTATCACTTTTGTCTCCCTAGTTTTCTCCTCTTTCCTTTCACTCATGTCCCCTTCCTCTAGCCCAGGGATTCTTAATTTTGTGTCATGGTCCCCTTTAGCAGTCTGGTGAAGCCTATGTGCCCTATGTTTTAGTAAGGGAAAAGGAAGGAAACACAAATTTATTAAGGACCTACTCTGCTCCAGGCTCTGTGCTAAGAGGTTTTTACAAATATTATCTCATTTGATCCTCACAATAACCCTGGGGGGTAGGTACTATAACTGTCCCCATTTTACAGTTGAGAGAACTGCAGCAGACAGAGATACTACAAGATTTTACAAGAATTATCTTATTTGATCCTCATAACATATCTGAGAGGTAGGTGCTGTTATTACCCCCATTTTATAGTTGAGGAAACTGAAGCAAACAGAAGCTATGGGATTTGCCCAGGATCACACAGTACATATCTGAGGTTTGATTTAAATACAGGTCTTCCTTACTCCAGGCCCAATGCTTTATCTACTATGCCACCTGTTGCCTACATTCATAATGAAAGGAAATGTTAAATTTCAGCTAGAGGTTGTTCTCATTGAAAAGAAAGATGTAATTTTTTTCCCATCCAAGTTCCCCATAAAATCTATCCACGGATCTCTTGGGTTAAGGATGCCTTCTCTAGCCTCATTCAATGAATCCCCCACCCCAATGACATATTATTCCTTAGGTGAGAGGCCTATAACCTATTTTGACTCCAACCCCAGGGTTGCCTAGGGGACTGAGGACTCATAGCTATACAGCTAGGGCTGGGACTTAGAGGGTAGTAGTAGAAGAGAATTTCTTTAGGTTTCACCTTCACCTTCTTTCCATCCTCTCCTATAGGACTGGAAGGAGACATGCTTCCATTCAAGGCCTATTGGTGCTCTTTCCTTTGTCTCAGCCTTCTCAGTGACCATGTACCCAACTTTCCTTCCCCCTGAGGTCTCCTCCCACCATTCCTCTATTCTATGACACCTCTGTTCTGCCTCTCTTAGGAGGTATTGGTCCTCATGGGTCAAGAGAACATTCTTCCACCCTGGAAAGGGCAAGGGTGGGGATAGGAGCGGCATAGAGCTTAAGGAGAGTAAGAGTGTAAAAAAGGAATGTGGGATCCTAGAGCAACGGGCTCAAACTCACATAGAAATGGGGGTCATCAAACCATAATAAGGAGCTCTGCAGGCTGTATATTGACTTAGTTTTAAAATGTAATATTTAAGTTTTATTGTATTTTTATTTATTTTTGTTAAATATTTCCCGATTACATTTTAAATCTGGTTCTGGCTGTACGCAGGAGTATTGTGGACTGCATTTGGCCCATGGACTGTGTATTTGACTCCTTTGTTCTAGCAGGAGAAAAGCAGACTTCCTTATACCCCAAAGAAGATACTGGGTGAGCAGAGGGGAGAGGAGGCCTTAAAGCAGGCACTTGGAGGGGATGGGGTGGGGTAGTGACTATCTCACTAGGTAACATGCAATGCCATGACAGGTGAGGGGCCAACATGGCCCCTATCACATCTGGGTTCCAAGTCCTTCACTGGGATTTAGAAGGTTATTCTCTCATTCAGGAGAACTAGCTTATAAGGCTCATAGCTTTCCAATGTCCTTGAGAGTGAATCAGGGCAATGGATGTGAGAGGCTATCTCATATCTGACCAAAAAAAAAACCAAACCCCCAAAAACGGAATGCAATGAGCAGATGGTTGTTTTCTCCAGATCTATTAATCCTTGATCATGGGGTATGTGCATAGGTCAATATGATTGGCCCAGGTTCAGAGCACGAGTGATAGTCCCATGCTATGATGGAGCTAAGATGACCTTATATTTTGACCAAACTTTCTCTAGATTTGACCAAACTCCAGAGTAGCCCTATTCTCTTCAGGCTCGAGAATGGGTCCCATCTTCTGGCAAGGCCCCCAGTTAGAAGGGAACATCTAGAGGACTCTTTGGTCTGTTCATAGGATCATAGACCATGAGCTAGAAAAGACTTGGAAGCTGGATTTTTTTTAATAGATGAGGAAACTGAAGTCCAGAAAAATTAAGTGACCTTGCTCAAGGTTGTATAGATTTTAGATATTAGAGTGAGATTTGAATCCAGGTCCTATGGATCCAGAGTCAGTACTCATTCCACTGTTTCCATGATGCCTCTTATTCCATGCTGTTCTCCATGAGATACAGAGTAGAATCCATGCCTTGGGCATCTTGCCTGATCCCAAAGTAGAGGGAGAAGGGAGCTCTCCACTCAAGTGGACAGCCATACATGGACGCCCCCTAACTTAGAGCCCTGAAGCTTCTCCTTTCCAATAATTCATCCTGTCTCCCCACATTTTCTACATTAGGGCAAGGTGGCGCAGAAGAAAAGGCAGGAGTCAGTGTCTCAGCTTCTAGGAGAATTTTTTATTCTACTTCCTAGGCAGGGTCTATTGTACAGGGACCGTGGAGTTGAGAGGGCCCATAATTGCACCTCCAGATCAGTGCAGGACATTGTGGCCTGGCTACTCCTCATTCAAGCCCTTATGAAAGGAAACAAAGTTCGAGTCAGTTCTGAGGGAAGGGAGTCAGGGACCAAGATTGTGGGAGAAGGGTCTGGTTCTGGACTTTGATGGAATGTATGGTGCATTCTGTGGAAAGGGCAGATAAGGAGCAGATTGACAGGTAGAGGTTGTGTGGGAGTCTCTTGGGAGTCAGGGTAAAAGTTCTCCAGGGTTTGGATCACAGTGGGTATATATGGTAAGGGGCAAAATGGCAAAGGTCAAAAATCTCAAGGGTTGTAATGGGCTCAGTTTCAGGGATGATGATAAACCTGGGTATGATATTTATATAATCATAGAATTTTAGAACTAGAAGGGACTTTACAAATTTTCTAGTCAAACCTTCTAATTTTACAGAAATGGAAACCGAGGCTCAGTCATTGAGAAATGACTTACTGAAGGTGACAGAGCTAGTTAGTGGTGATTAGATTCAGAAAAGAGAGTCTCAGTCTGTTGGGGTATGGAGCCCAGTGTTTGAGAAACCCAGAGGATGAGAAACGTAACATTTGAGGAACCATGTGGGGAGAGCTGTGTTTAGAGTTCTTGATAGAGGGATGCTCCTGGAAGAAAGCGCCATCTCTGGGGAAGCAAAGGTGTCCAGGATGGGTGTGTTTGCTAAGGTAAGTATAGCATTGGAGGTACAATGTCTGGCAATTGGACACGCCCTACAAGGTGCTCACCTTGGCACCAATGTCCCGGCTCTTGGCCCGAAGCTTGTTGACCTGGGACTCAGCAATGTCAGCCCGTTCCTCGGCCTCATCGAGCTCATGCTGGACCTTCCGGAACTTGGACAGATTGGTATTGGCCTGTTCCTCCTGTGGTGGGGTGGGTAAAAGATCAGGGAGAAATGATGGGGGTGGGGGAGTAAAGATAGACGGGTTCTCTATGCATCTTTGGTTTGGGCAACCAACTCCTTTTCCATTTCAGGCTTCAATTAGGCTACCCTGATCCAGACTCCTATCTCCTATGTCCACTCCCCAGGCTTCCCAACTCCCATGAAGTGGACACTTACTGCTTCCTCAGCCTGCCGCTTGTAGGCCTTGACTTTCAGTTGTAACTTGTCCACCAGATCCTGCAGCCGAAGCAGGTTCTTCCTGTCTTCCTCTGTCTGCCAGGGAACAAGGATGAAGAAGAAGTTACTGGAGAGCCCACTGACCTTTTTTTTTTTCTTTTTTTAATCCTTTAACTATTTTTCACTAAACTCTCCACTGGGAACCACCATTTTCTGCTTTTCACTCACTACCATTCACTGCCACTCTCATGGAACAGGAACAGGAGGCAGTTGGAGGCATGAGTTGAGATTCGTCTGGTGAAAAAAAGATGAGGTTCTGGACTTTGGTTCTAGAGATGGGGTTCTTAACCTTTTTAGTGCCATGGACACTTTTGACAGTTTTATGAGGACTGTGAACCCCTTCTCAGAGTAGTGTTTAAAATGCATGAAATATGTAAGATTCAAAGGAAACAAATTATTTTGACATATAATTATCAAAATATTAAAAAAATAAGTTCACAGACCCCAGTTAAGGAACCTTGCTCTAGAGTAAAGCCTGGGTTGGTTCTAGAACCCCAGGTGTGATCTTGAAATTTTTCCTAAAATAGAAATTGCCACACGAAAAGTGGTATGTTCCAGGTCCTTGGACAAGCAGCACCACTAGTCCTCGTTCTAGAGGCATAGTGACATTTTAATTTTAGGAAGAAAGAACTTTTTCCAGAAGCTGATTCTAGAAAACAAAGCTTAGAGTTTGAGCTAAAAATAGTATCATCTCCATTGGTTCTTGCTTAGATGATTTAAAGCATTTCAGGTGTTGTTTCTAGGATCTTGAGACCTTTAGAGCTCCCTAGGGGATGACTATATTTATGTCCTGTTCTAAAATGTGGTTACTGAGCTATGTGGGTATCCAGAATTTGGGGCAGAGTCCCATGATGCTACACTATGAAACTGAGTTTGTAGGGTTGGGCTTTCTAGGGACGGATGGTGCGGAATATGACTATGAATTAGGGCAGGGTCCAGGCGTTAGCTGCTGCTTTCTCCACCCCAGGAAGGAGCTGGCAATGCTGAAGGCCAAGGAGAAAAGGCTTACTTTGTCTTAGAGGACCTGGTCCTAAATAAGAGGTATCAAACATCCTAGGCCACACTCAGCCCACAACACTCTCGAGTGCAGATGGACCAGATTATTATATAATTATTATTATTCTATATAAAACCAATTATTATATAATTGGTAGAAGATCGCTGATGTTAATACGTGGTTTTCTAAGTCAATGGGCAGCTTGCAGGGAGCTTTCTGCATGGTTTAGTGGCCACCATTTCTATTTGAGTTTGACACCACCGGCCCAGAGCGAAGAAGCGGAGAACGCTCAGGTCTGAAGTCATTGTTCCACTTGCCTGGTAGGTGAGCTCCTTGATGCGCCTCTCGCATTTCCTCATGCCCTTGACTGACTCGGCGTTCCGCTTCTGCTCCGACTCGAGCTCGTTCTCCAGCTCCCGCACCCGGGCCTCGAGCTTCTGCAGCTGCTTCTTGCCGCCCTTGAGGGCGATCTGCTCAGCCTCGTCCAGCCGGTGCTGCAGGTCCTTGATGGTCTGCTCCATGTTCTTCTTCATCCTCTCCAGGTGGGCGCTGGTGTCCTGCTCCTTCTTCAGCTCTTCAGCCATCATGGCTGCCTGGGGTGTGGGGAGAGAGGGAGGGAGCCTCCTGTAGGCCTAGGCACACCAATGGCCATGAGGCGACCCCAGTCGAGGGTGTAGGGTGGGCTCCGTACTCACGTCCGTGATGGCCTTCTTGGCCTTCTCCTCGGCGTTCCTGCACTCCTGGACTGCCTCCTCCACTTCCGTCTGGAGCTGAGACAGGTCTGCGTCCATCTTCTTCTTCTGGTTGATTAGGCTGGTGTTCTAAATTAGGGATGGATGGGAAAGGAAACAAGCAGAGTTCACGGCTCGCTGGATTGGCTGTGTCCAAGGGTGGTTTACTTCCAACTATGAACTGAACCAAGCCCAGTTCCTTTATCTAAAAGTGCATGAACAATGGTAATTTTTACAGCTATCCTTTAGTATATTCACGTAGTATCTTAAGGTTTGCAAAACACTGTGGGCTCAAGGATTATTATCCCCATTTTACAGAGGAGTAAAGCGAGGATCTCTGAAGTTAAGTGACTTGCTCATGGCCATATAGCTACTGAATATCTGAAGTGGAATTCGAATCCAGTTCTCCCAATTCCAAGTTCAGTCCTCATTCCGTCACTCCCATGCTACCTTTATAAATAAAATGTCCTAGTTGAATAATCCTGGCATAATCAGATATATAATGAAAGGATCACAGGGTCTAGTCCTGGAAGGGACTTATTCCAATGCTTTCATTTTATAGGTGGGGAAACTGAGGCTGGAAGTGACAAAGAAACACATTTAGGCTTGATGCCAGGAAATCTATCTAACAGAGCAATCCATTAAGTCTATTCAATGACTCTTTCTCATCAGAGGTCTTTAAGCATAGGATGGATGACCATTTATGGGGGATGGTACAGTGGGGATTCTTTTTTGGAGGAGTTCTAATCAGACTAGATGCCTGCTGGGATCTCTTCCAATTCTAAAATTCTGTACTTTCGTGTTATGTGCTTTTCTCAGAGATGATACCCAATAAGTGGTTTTGTTCTAGACCACTTTCTCTGGCGGTATGGTTAAAAATCACAATCAGGGTATGCTGGAGCCAGCTCAGGCTCAGAGCCAACTGTTAAATTAAGTGTGAACATTTACACCTTAAAAATCAGCAAACTATGAATGGGGCTTCATTTATTATTTTATTGGTTTGTAGACTTCAGAAAGTGATGCGGATGAAATGTAAAAGTATGCCACTCTCCAGAGAGCTGGTTGTTAAATATTTACCAGCACACCCTTGACACAACACCCAGTGGAGTTCCTTTCTCACCTGGGAGTGGAGCAGCTGCACCCGTTCACTGGTCTCAATGAGTTCCTGCTCAGCCAGCTTCCTGGCCCTCTCTGTCTGCTCCACCACAGCCCGTAGCTCCTCAAGCTCTGCCTGGAGCAAGTTGTTACGGCGTTCCACGATGGCAATGTTCTCCTTTAGGTCATCGTTGGCTCGGACTGCATCATCCAGTTGGATCTGGGTGTCCTGAGAATGAGAGAAACCAGCATTAGATAGGATAATGGCAGTAGTGTCAACTGAGTAGGTAGATGAGTGACCCCATCTGGGCAGTTATGAGATCCATGATGGGCTAAAAAGCTTGGGGTTCCCATTCCCTCATGCAGTGACCAATGCCTCTGCCATGACCTTTGAGTTGCTATTCTAGGAACCAGGGTTCTAGAGCCTGTACCAGAACTTGCTCCCAATATAGGATCATAGATTTAGATCCAACAGAGATCTTAGAGGCCACCTAGGGTAGCCGGTGGATAGAGTTGGGCCTGGAGCCAGGAAGACCTGAGTTCTAATTTGGCCTCAGACACCTAGTTGTGTGGCCTTGGGCACGCTGCTTAACCTCTGTTTACCTTAGTTTCCTCAACTGTAAAATGAGGATAATAATAGCATTTATTTTTCAGGGTTGTTGTATCAAATGAGATAACATTTATACAGTATTTAGCATAGGGCCTGGTACATAGTAGGCATTATATAAATGTTAGCAATTATTATTATTGGGCAGCTAGGTGGCACAGTGGATAGAGTATTGGGCCTCAAGTCAGGAAGATCTGAGTTAAAATCTGACCCCAGTCACTTATTAGCTGTGTGATCCTGGGCAAGTCACTTAACCCTGTTTGCCTCAGTTTCTTATCTGTAAAATGAGCTGGAGAAGGAAATGGCAAACCACTCTAGGATGTTTGCCAAGAAAACCCCAAGTGGGGTCCTGAATAGTCAGACGTGACTGAAACAACTGAACAGCATAACAACCACAACAATTATTGTTATTATTATTATTATTATCTAGTCTAACCCCCTCATTTTACATATGGTGAAATTGAGGCCTGGAGAGGCTAAGTGACTTGCCCTAGGTTGCAGAGGCAGGATTTAAATCTGGGCCCCCATCTCCAGATCCACTGCTCTTTTTGCCAAACCACTAAACAGTTGTTAAAACATGTAAATCATTTCCACAGTGGTGGTGGTGGTGGTGGTGGTGGTGGCGGGAATGCCTCTGCTTCTGAGAAAGCTGGCGTACCTTCAGCAAGCCCTGTAGGGTCTTGACTTGCTTCTGGGCCTCTGCAGCTATGCGATTCGCATGGCTCAGCTGGATCTCCATCTCATTGAGGTCTCCCTCCATCTTCTTCTTCACCCGAAGGGCCTCATTCCTGCTGCGGGTCTCAGCATCGAGGGAGGTCTGCAGGGAGTCCACCACCCGTAGGTGGTTGCGCTTGGCCTGCTCCATCTCCTCGTCCTTCTCTGCCAACTTCCGTTCAATCTCTGCTTTGATCTGGTTGAACTCCAGCTGTGCCCGGAGAATCTTTCCTTCCTCATGTTCCAAGGAGGCCTGGGAGGATGAAGGAGAAGAGCTACAAGTGAGTGGTTTTTAAGACCATAAGAACATTGGGAGGGACGGATGGATGTGACAAGTTACAGATGCTGAATGAGTTGAGCATAAGGGAAAGTGGAGAGGCAACTTGGCAAAGTGAATCCAGAGATGGGCTGAGACAGGGACCACCGTGGCTCAAACACTACCACTGGTACACACTGACTGAGTGAACCTGAGTAAGTCACTTGACCTCTCATTGCCCTAGGCAGCTAATTCTCTAAGAGAACAAGTATTGCTGCTTCCACATAGGCAGATTGCCAGATCTGCATTGATTCCTCCTTGAGGAACTCCCTATTCCAATGAAATCACAGACTGAGTAAAAAAATAAAAATAAAAAAGGAATAAGGAAATGGGACATGGAGATGCTATAGAAGAAGAAGAAAGCCAGAGACCTAAGGAGTTGGGGGCTTCACAGACAGAGGAGAGGTAATATAAAGACAACAGAGTAAAAAGAAGGGGGTTACTATGAGACAAAGTAGAGGAGATAGGTACAACATGATTCAGGGAGAAGAAAGAGCCCTGGATTTGGATTCCAAGGCCCTGGGAATGAATCTCAGCTTTGCCACTTATTATCTGGATGACCTGGAGAGAGTTATTTAAGGGATTCAGTTTCCTCATATATCAAAGGAAAGAGTTGGACTGATGAGCTTTAAGGCCTTTTCAAGTCCAAAATCTGTAAGCCAATGATCTGGGAGATACTGAAAAGAAGATGGATAGGTGGATGGAATTTGAAAGACAGACAGAGGAATAGAGGTAAGAGAGAATGGGGGTAAGTTGCTGGGGAAGGAAGGCAGGGGACAAAGGGAGGAAGGGCATCATGGGGGCCCAGGCCTCTCTCACCTCTGCTTCCTCCAGGGCAGACTGCAGTTCCAGCTTCTCTGCCTCCAGCTGTTTCCGAATCTTCTCCAGCTCATGGATACTCTTCCCACTGGAGCCCAACTGTTCTGTCAGGTCTGAGATCTCCTCTGTGGGTTAAAGACAGAGGATCTGGTTATGGGGTTGGGGTCCTTGGTGTGATCCTGCAGGGGAGGGAGGCTTTGGCTGTAGGAATAATCAGGATTCCCCAGGAAAGCTGTGGCTGATATACTGTCATTTCCTTCTTGAGCCATCAGTTGAACAAGTGGGTGGGAGATAATGGTGACAGGGCCAGCTCATCACCACATCTGCTGCTGCCTCCTTTACCCTGATCCCTCCCTGACTCACCCTGGAGGTTCTTGTTTT